CTTAGTGTCTACTTGCTTTCATAGTTTCCTTAGATATCAGATCATTTTGCTCAATTAGAGAGTAATGAATACAATTTAAAAATATAAAAATTATCTTTTCTAACCCGGTGCATTTTGTCAACTTGTACTCAAAGATTATTCTCTGCTGCTTTTTGTAGGCGTCAAAAAATGCTGAAAGATATCCAAATACAGCTGAAGAGAAGATCATCCAAAAAAATCAACAAAAGGACACAAGTATGGACTGTCTCGCCCAGCGAGACAAACTTTGCTGTCTCGCCGTGCGAGACAGATTTTGCTGTCTCGCTCGCCGTGCGAGACAGACTTCGCTGTCTCGCCGAGCGAGACAGACTTTGCTGTCTCGCCATGCGGGACAGAGTTGACTATCTCGCACGCAAGACAGTTTTCAAACATTCAGAAACCGTTTCATAAACCGCCGACACGTGGCCACCAACTGTTCAAGAACGTGGGGAGTATCATGGGCGAGAATCACGTTGATAACCACCAGAATAACGGAGTTTAGAACGTGGGAAGACAGTTGCAGCGAGAAACTGTCAAGAATATTCGTTTTCCGAGACAGTATTTACTGTCTCGCTGGGCGAGACAGCAAATCAGCAAATTTACTGTCTCGCTGGGCGAGACAGCAAACACTGTCTCGGCCAGCGAGACAGTAAACACTGTCTCGACATATTAATTCTGTCTTTTGTTGACTTTTGTTAGTTATGAACCCCAGAGGCTATAAATACCCCCCTAGGGTCATTTCTGACAGAGGCTAGATTTTTTTGAGCATTTCAGAGCAGAGAAAGAGCAGAGTTCTTGAGTTTCTGGTAACTCCTTGATAATCAGGCTTTGACTTGATTTCAAGAAGAACGACTATCTTACTTCGATAAGATATCGTTTCAAGTTCTCACTTCGATAAACGAAGTCAGAATCATAAACCCCTCACGATTCGATCAGAATCTGTGATTTGGTGGTCCACGAGTCAAAGCGCTCCCGGCACAGGCAACGATCCCATGCAAGCAGTGATCCAAACAACAATTCTGCGTTTGCTTCCCAAGAGTTGTAATTTTTATTTTGTTGTGTAAAAGAAGTCTTATAAAAAGGCTATCTCTTTTTTGAATTTATTATAATCGACTGAAGATATAATGAATTCCATGACAAAACCAACTTTTGACGCAAACACTTTTAAAGGTAAAACTTACTTTCTCAAAAAAATATTATTTATTTATTTTTCATAGGAAAAGAGAAAAAGATGGAATAGGCAAAAAATCAGGTGATGTTTTTAGCAGTTGAATGTAAAATGTAAAATAGGCAATTTAGTTCGGGAGACATATTTTCAAACTACGAGATGTGAGTGGGCTAATATGTAAAAAGACTCTCATAGATTTCGACCCAATAAAGCCTTCTTCAGCCCGACCCACTACCGCCGACCTCTCCGTCTCTCTCCTCTCGTTCCCAAAACCCACACTTTTTCGTGGCGGCTCCCTCTTCTTGTATAATTTTCCCTCCCTTTTTCCATCCCAAAATCAGAAGAGGAAGATAAGAAAAAAAAATGCCCCTTTCTCTAAATCTCACCACCCCTCTTCAAGCTTCACCGGAGGTAACCACGATCTCTCTTTCAATTCACCGCATTCCCTTTTTCATCTATCGCTAACCCCTCTCAAAATTTCCAGTTCTCGGGCTCCAGTTTCTCCCCTCGTCGCAGAATTAGGGTTTCGTCGATCGTACGCTCGGACATGGGCATTGATTCGAATCACATCCCCGCGGCGCCAATTCTCTTGCCTGAGGGCCCTTGGACGCAGGTGATGACATAGAAAGGAGAAAGTTTTGATCTTTGCGTCGTTGTGCTTCTCGTTGATTTTTTTTTTGAATTGTTTGTTGTAGATAGCAGGGGGTGTTACTGCTGCTAAAGGATTCAAAGCCGCGGGGATTTATGGCGGTCTTCGTGCGAAGGGGGAGAAGCCTGATCTGGCTCTTGTTACTTGTGATGTTGATGCAGTTTCTGCTGGTGAGTATAAAGAAGTTGGAATTTTTATTCAAATTCGTAACAACTTCAGAAGGTTTATGACGATTAGTTGAGAGGTTTATGCATTAAGAATGTTATTGTAACCTTTAGGCTGGGTGCGTTGGCGAAATTGTCATTCTATTGCTCTTGATTTAGTAGGTTGTATGTATAGGGATCAGATGGAATACTCAACTTTAAGAATGTTATTGTAATCTTTAGGCTGGATGCATCGGCGAAATCGTCATTCTATTGCTCTTGATTTGGTAGGGTACATGTATAGGGATCAGATGGAAATACTCAACTTTAATGCTGTAACATAAAATGGAAACAAAGTTAAATTATTTTTAACTCAGGGTACGTTGGATGACTCTTATGTTACTGTGTATATCTGTACTACTACTATATAAAGAACATTATAGGGGTAATCAAAACATGGATGAATGGCAGACATATTCTCATTTTGTACTGTAGTTGGAAGGAGAAAAATGTAATTTAACAATAGACATTTTTCTTTTATTTCTCTTTTTATTTCTAGAATATTTCATATATCATATGCACATTTGTACTATTAGTTTCATGCATTATGCACGTGCATTTTATTTTGCACAAAAGAAATAAAACATATAAAAACAGTAATAATAGATGCTAAAAACCTTATCTTTTCATATAAGATGAAGAAATATTTTTCTTAGGCTTAAGATATCACATTTTTAAACGACTCTAGATACGTTTTTAGATATACAAATTTATTTTAAAAGATTTGTGCCTTTGCACATGCATATGCTCTTGTGACAATGCTAGTGTTTATAAAGAGAAGCATATGTCATCTATTAAGAGATATCTGCTGTTTTGTTCACAATAACTCTAAATTTGCCGGTAGCATAAATTTTTCTCAACCAGGTTGGACACCTAAGGAGAATGTGACATCTATGTTTTCTGTTTAATGATTTTGAAATCAGAAGTAGCCTTCCAAGTTATGTATGTCTTTTTTCAATGGTGTTTTCAGGAGCATTCACTAAGAATATAGTGGCAGCTGCACCAATTACCTACTGCAGAAAAGTACTAGATGCTTCATCATTGGTATGTCAATTCAGCCCCTCTTGGTTTTAACATAACCATTCATTTTATTGCTTGCTCATTTGACAAGTTGATGGTGACTTATCTTTTCTTTTTCCCCGTTTCATTAACTAGGCTATCAATTCTACATAGGTTCAATTTGGTAGTTTGTCTTTCTTTTATAAGTATGGAAACAATTCTCATAATCCGCTACGTCAGTTATTTCTTGAACTTTTTTTATGATGTAAAACCTTCAGTTTTGCAACTATTCAGGCACGGGCTGTGTTGATTAATGCTGGTCAAGCAAATGCTGCAACAGTAAGTGCAGTTAGATACTTGCCTCAACCTTGGAAAGAGTCAACTAGTTATGTGGCTAAAAGACTCTTTGGAACATGACAGGGTGATGCAGGTTATCAGGACACAATAGAATGTGCAAATGCTGTTGCTGAGGTTTTTCCACTTTGATAATTATTCTATTTATGTAACTTGTAAAATTATGCAGACATGCGTCTTTTTCTAATCTTTTGGATTATTGTGCTTGCAGCTTCTCCGGTTGAGTCCAGAAGCTGTATTCATTCAGTCCACTGGTGTTATCGGTCAAAGAATAAAGAAGGTGCTATAGCATAGATGAATACACCTTTGTTAGCATACGTGTCCTTCTTGAGCTAGAGGGAGGCTATGAAGCACGGATACGGATACGGGATATGGATACGACACGGACACGGATACGGGATACGGCAAAATCCAAAAAAATAGGATACGGGAATACGACGAGGATTTTTTTTTCCAAATTATTATATATATAAAAAATTTATAAAATTCAACTAACAATCTAAATTATGAATCTATGACAAAATAACAAATTTGTAAACAAAAAGGAATTAGAGTACATACTCATTCTATCACAAAATAACGAGTTTCAAGTTTGTAAACAAAAAGGAATTGAAGTACATACTCTACTCATTCTATCACAAAATAACAAGTTTGTAAATAAAAAATACATCAAGATAAAGTGGAAGCTAGTTCGATGACTTCTTCATTGCCTGGCCCTTCATCATCAGCAAACAACATAGCCTCCATGGTGGGTTCATCACGAGACAAGGTGGCGACATCAAGAATACCGGCACCCTGAAATGAGTCGAATGCATCTCCACCAATATCCCACAGCTTCGATTCTCCTTCTTTATATTCTTGGGATGATCGAGAAAGCAAACGAAGATTGCTATGCACATACACAAGATCTTCTGCCCTTTCCGGTGTCATCTTGTTCCTCTTCAAAGAGTGAATGAATGAGTATGTACTCCAATTCCTTTCGCAGCAAGAGGATGAGCAGGGTTGGCCTAGAAGCTTGAAGGCCAATGCTTGAATATTTGGAGTTGAGGATCCATAGAGCGCCCACCATGCTGCTGGATCCATAAATCCTCTATCAGCAAGAGAATCTGGATCCCTAAAAATGTCAAGAGCAGCCGAGAATTTAGCAAATTCTAAGTTAACCATCCTCCGTTCATCGGTATTAGGATAATATCTCCTCAAACACTTGGTCCTTTCCGAAGAGATCTCCTCATCCTGATGGGGTGCTTGCCGATGGATATTCCCATTCAGTCATGTCTCGTGATAATATCTATTAAAGTTTAACATTGAATTAGACATTATTAATAAAAATAATCACATCAAAAATAATGAATTGATAACATAATCTAAATTATTACCTTGGATTCAAAGAGTGCGCCAAGCACTGAAGTGGCGTGTTGCTCTTATTCCATCTATCCTCCAAGATCTTGTGTACGACATCATAAAATGAGGAGGGATCATTTTCTCTTTTGCTCTCATGTCTATAAATAACAACCTTCACCTTCTCAATCATTGTATCCCACATATCATATACCAAATGAAGGCTGGGCTTGTCGGTATCGGTGAGCCGAATCATATCATATATAGGAGCAGTGAAAGCAATAATATAATCCATCCTATCCCACCACAAATCATCAAGCACTTTCTCCTTAACAAACTGTGCTTTTCCCACATCAACCAAATGAAGGCTGGGCTTGTCGGTATCGGTGAGCCGAATCATATCATATATAGGAGCAGTGAAAGCAATAATATAATCCACCCTATCCCACCACAAATCATCAAGCACTTTCTCCTTAACAAACTGTGCTTTTCCCACATCATCATCTCTGTACGAGCTCCAACGGTCGCTAAGAACCATATCTTGGAGGCTTCTCTTGATCACAGTGAACCTCTTTAGCATGATGATCCATGAAGCAAATCGAGTATCAGCAATTGAAAGAAGCTTCATCTTCGAATGCTCATTGAACATAGCCAGCCTCATTGAGTGATTCATGATGAAGTTCTTAATCATCAAAGCATCATCATATACCTCTGTAATCCAGCTGCACTCTGCATAAGCAATTGCATTAGCCTCTGTATTCTTTGCAGCACAAATATTCTTAAGGGCAAGATTGAGGGTGTGAACAACACATGGAGTCCAGAAAATATGTGGAAATTTTCCCTCCACAACTGCCCCTGCTGCCTTACATGCCGAAGCATTATCAGTAATGATTTGGATCACATTTTGAGGCCCCACCTCTCTAATGCAAGCTTCAAGCTTCTCTGCAATGAAATATTTATTCTTCTGCTCTCCCTCAGCATTCACACAGTGCAAGAACATTGGCCCATTATCTGAGACCGCAATGAAATTTATCAGTGGCCTCATTTGTGCATCTGCCCAGCCACCGCTATAAATAGAGACCCCCTTCTACTTCCATGTGCCCCTGATGGGCTCCAACAACCTCTCTACGTGAGCCTTCTCACGTTGCAAAAGAGTGGTCCTCAAAGAATTATAACCCGGAGGCTTGTAACCGGCAATTGAATTGCTTGCGGCATATGTGATCATCTTAGAGAAATAAGGATTTCTTGCCAAATTAAATGACAGCCCACCGGTATAGAACATCCTTGCAATCATTGAATCCAATTCATCTCTTGCCCCTATATTGAAGGCTTGTTCAACAGTGGTGACTCCCCTCCTCCTCTTTGGCTCACTTAGACGAGAAGGCATGCTTTGACTTCCTGCTACTGCACTTGACGCTGAAGAACCTGGCAGCGTCACTGTCCTAGGCATAGAAGCCCTCACCCTTGCTTCTGCTTGATCCGCATCAGTTTGCATGTCTCTCAAATTGTGCGGCTTAACACATTTGCACATTTTAATTCCTTGCCCACTAATCCGCATTAGATGGGCTTTGACCCTTGAGTAGGAGGATGTAAATACTTCATTGCAATAACTACACATCCACTGCCAATTCCCCCCTCCTTTACCCATCTTCTCCAACTTTGTGACATACTTCCACAAAGGAGTGTGATCATCTTGAACAGACTGTACACCACCAGAACTACCTCCTGCTTCCATTGCTATAAACAACAAGTAACAAATATTAATTAAATATTAAACATCGGAGAGTTAAGTAGATTAACAAGTAACAAGTACTAATTAAACAACAAATAACAAGTAACAAGAATTAAGTGACTAACAAATAACAAGTAACAAGTACTAATTAAACAACAAATAACAAGTAACAAGAATTAAGTGACTAACAATTAAATATTTACATATTCATAATTTATTAGTTAGCATGATAATTTCTATTTTAAACTCTTTTCTAATTATACTAAAAGATAAGTTGTTGCTCACTAACTTTGTTTTTCTTTTTACAGATTATACTTAAGAGTTAAGCAACAATGAGCAAGGATGAAGGATCAATCAAATATGTATAATTAGATATGTATATTCATAATTTATTCATTAAATATGTATATTCATTTGTGTAATAATTCATTTGTGTAATAATT